TTCCCCTCCACAACCATCTCTTTATTTAGAATAACTTTAAAAAAATGTGTATCTACTGTTTAATGTCTGTCTGTCTGTCTGTCTGTCTGTCTGTCTGTCTGTCTCTGTCTGTCTCTGTCTTTCTCTTTTTCTTCTTGTACAACTCACCGTCCTCTCTCCTTGTCTCGCTGTGTTTCTAGTTCTCTCTACATACTTACCTACTCTGTACGAGTTGTTGTCCTTCAGCCACCCCGCCCCCCTTTACTCTCAAACCCTTCCGAAATCACACAAGATTTCAACAGCCTACTTCGGGACTTTGTTCCCGGCTGACAGGTCACATACACTTCGTTCTAGATCTAGATTTAGAATATCTAGTCATATTACTGCTCTATCGAAGCCAAATCTTGATCTAGAGAGCAGCTAGATTCTAGATCTAGATATCTAGATCTAGATCTAGATATTTTAAATATTGGACAACATTCTAGTCTAACTGTTGCCCCTTAGCCTAGATCTAGATCTACTTCATGACACTCATGATAATTGATTGTGAACGACTTCACTAAAATAAACGTAAGTAGATCTAGAATCTAGGTCTAGACCCTCTGAGGTAAATATCTAGAAAATCTAGATCTAGATCTAGATCTAGAATCTAGAGCTCTAGGCCCTAGACTCTAGGCTCCAGTCCAGGTTTAGAATTCTGAAACCGATTTTAAAATCTCAGAGAGAAAAAAACAACAACAGGACAGGTCTTGTCATGAAGAGAAGTTGTCAAGGCAAAGAAGGCTTTCACATTGCCGAATATTAATACGAGTTACACCAAATAGATATTAATGGAACTCACAGTTAAAACGAACTCCGTCCCTCTACTCAGTTTTGTATGCGACAAAATCCACAAATAAATAACAATACTTGATTCAACTTAAAAATTGTCTAAAAACATGCTCTGTGGGACTGAATGCTCGTTTTAAAAAGAAAACAACATGAAGCGGAGGAAACAAATCTTCCCTTTTTTTCACAAAAGATGGGATACAGGGGAGATAACAATAATAAAGGAGACAACTCATAAAATCGACAAAATTGATTCGTTCCTACGTGATTATTTCCCTTTATCAGACCTTTTCCAAGGGTTCAACCAGAGAGTTTATCCCCCACCTGGGCAGTGCTACTGACTGAAGTTGGCCTTAGGCCATTCCCAAAGGGCGAATATTAACATGTTCTTATGCACAATAGTAAATAGGCTGATTTATCAATGTCACGCTCATCATACTATGTCGGAACAACATTGGGGGAACTGCTGCTTTTTCTTTCCTCATCCTCACAATACTATTGTCATTTTCCTCTACTTCTTTCGTATGTTTGTCACTCTCTTGTGAACCTATTTTTCCGGGGTGCCTTGATAGTCGAAGAAGACTTTGGGCTGTTGAGGCTAGAGAGGTGAGCAGAGTAAGCCTGATTCCCCATTTGGACGTCTCTGTTGGCATCCACGCCTTGACGCTCATATGACCTTATGCAGTTGCGAATGCTGTAAAACCTTACTAAAACAAAAAGAGAGTTTACAGACTTGCTGGTACAGCCAAAGAAGAGGTACCATGCCCTTATCAGTAACGGTAACGTTAGCAATACAAGACAGAGAGAGAGAGAGACAAAGAATTGACTGAAAGGTGGAATAATGAAACCCCCAAAGCTGACAGATTTAAATGAAGCCAATCACATACCTGCCAACATTGCCTGGGCCAAAATCTGTAGTTGGACGCAACTTTTGTCAAAAAATCTGTAGTTTACCTAAAAAATCTGTAGTAGGCTATATTACCTCTTGTCGCATACTTAATTTGGGATCCTTATCAATATTTAATTTTGGCCCACATCAAATATGCATGATTGTGTTTGCGACTACAAACAAATGTAGAAAATGACAAAAAGAACAAAAAAAAAAAAAAAAAAAAAAAAGAAAACTAGCAGAGGCATTTACCCTATTAGTAGTTTGTGCAGTTCCTGTCCTATTCTTTGTCCCCTGGTTTTTGCCTTGAAACCAACCCACCCCCCCCCCCCCCCCGAAAAAAAAATAATCTCCCCCCCATTCCGGGAGTCCTATTCCTACGCAGCGCTCAGACTTTGAATGAACTTTGGTGACCCCCTTCAAGTGCCGGTGCTCACAATGTGATGGAATGCGCAAGTTCATTGACCGGTCACAATGGCGAACCCGACAAGACGCTTGTATAACTATAACTTTCTTTTTCTTTTCTTTTCTTTTTTTTCCCCACAAGTGACGGCACAGGACAAATATTGATTTATTTTCAAGGCGACACAGCGTTTGCCATGCACAGCCTGCATGTTGTTACAATTAATGTTGCGTTATCAAACTACTACCAGCAAATTTCTGGGTGGTAACGAAAGTGAAAGTATATCTTGATTATCCCGATCAAACGTCGGTATCACACCCGCTTGCCACCATAGCCGCCTGTCTGCGTGAAGAAACATACTCTCGAGGGAGCCGAATGAATCACAATCGCGACCGGCAAAAATGAACTTACGGGCGTTATCGGATTTGGTTTTCTCAAATTCCAGGGTAATTCCCGGGGCCTGGCAGTCACCCTGCTGAATCCCGAAGTCGGTGGCTTCATCTCAAAATCGGTGGATCGGTAGTTTGACCCAAAAGTCGGTGATCTACCGATTTTTTCTGTAGGGTTGGCAGGTATGCAATCAGCTCAGTACTGATACCAAGTGCTGATATAGATCTATAAAATGGGTAGTAACTAAAAGTGCTAACAGCTAGGATAAAGAGATGAACATCAACACAATTGTCTTTTAGCATGGGGAAAAAAGTAAGAGAGACAAATGGATAGAAAAAAACAACGACTGATGCCTACCAGCAGCACCCACCAACAATCTGCTCACACTAAAAGAAAACCCCAAAGAAAAACTTCAAGAGATATGCATGTGGGCTTGAACATGCAAAAAGAACATGGAAATACAGAAGAAAAAGAGAAAGGAACTTACCACATGCTCTAAAAGTTGCTGATACAATTTGTTGAGTTCATCTCTGTTCTCCCTTGTCATCTCATTAGGCGACTGATTCTCACTGTTAGAACCGGCCGTCATTTTCTCAAAGGTGGTCTCAAGCCAACCTATGGACACATACAAAAGAAATAATTATTATCAAGTATATAATTATTATAAGATTATCAAGTAGCGCAAATAAGCACCTGTATGAATGAATGTAAGGTTATCCTGTATGCATGTTGGAAGGGAGAATTTCAATGTATACCATAATGAAAGGCGAAGGGCATAAGCGACAAGGTACAAATTTACATTAATTTCTCAAGAGTGCACTGGTATGTATGTAGTCGGGATTTCAAGTTAAAAAACAAATTAATGAAGAATGAAATTTATAATTCAAAAGAACTGAAGTGAAATTTATGAGTAAAAAAACAAAACGTCATAACCAAAAGAAAGGCGTGATTATTTCCCTTGTAAAAATGGATTAACATAATTACTTCCCTTTGACCTGTAGCTGTCACGAGATTCTCGGAAAAATGAGCATAGACGGTATCTACAACTCCGTTTTGATTAAAGGAAAGTACATCCACTTTTACCACTGATGCCCCTGCCCATGCACAATATCAAAATTCTACTCCTGAAACGTTTTTCTCATTTTACGGTTTTGTGAAGTATAAAAACAAGTTGGGGGGATGGGGGATTTCTGTCATTTTCAATGTAGCTGTAATTTTTGTTATACATTATGTATTTCAAATCAATTTTCGCTCTGGTGATACCAAAGCTGCATATTTTTTGGACAGTTACAGGTATGTGAACCAATGCAGAGGGACATGAAAGGATTAAATCAATAATTCTATTTAGAAAATATTATGGATTTTTTAATAAAGTAGTATTTTCGGACAAACACTTATCTTTATATGTATGTTTGGATAAGTAGTTTGCATGTAGCCTGCCTCTTTTTGTTATTTGTAGAAACCTATAGTATACACAGCCATCACTGTTGATGCATCACAACTGGCTATCACCCACTCATAGCATACATCATGTACAATGAATAACAATTCACGAGTGTAATAGAGTACGCCGAATTGAAACCATTCGGTGGTTTTAGGTACAACACAAGGCTCACATGTATGTTTGAATTTTTTTTTTATTATTCTCGGTTTGTGTGAAGGGGGGGGGGTCGTGTAAAGCATAAAGCGTAACCCCACACCGTGCCATTCTATGGTCATAAGACAGGAAAGAAACCAATAAAGTATTAAGCTTTCTGAGACAAAAGTGATCACGAAAGTGAAGGATTCACAAATGGTGTATGTCAGTTCCTCTGATAACCAGTTAGATAAAATAAATGCCATAAGACTAAGCTTGATTTCCTGGGCATGTCTCAGAGATAGAGTACGCACAAAGCCGATAGTACAATCAGGTTTCTTTAATGTAAACAATAGTACATGATCTTCACTGTGGTGAAACTCTTAAGTCGGAAAGCGGATGGGCTGTACCGTTATACATCGCAAGAACAATGGAGAAAAAGCACAAACACACGGCCGAGCACACACACACACACACACACACACACACACACACACACACACACACACACACACACACACACACACACACACACACACACTCAAACACACACCAGTATAAAATAAGTTTTTGCTTTTCTACATTTATCACCCTCTTCAATTTGACTATCATTCGTTGACAACAACAAAACATTGCT